GTACAACGATATCAAAGTATGAAAGCTCGAAAGGAACAAGTGTAATTTATAAACTGTGTCATTTTTAGTATTATCGTAATATTGTTTTATATTTTTATTATCATTACATTCACGACAAAAACTCGACGTTCATCATCAGGTAAATTGTAAAATCCACAAAAAATCCTTGCTCCGCCCATGTATGAAACAGGTTGGTCATTCCCACCTCCATCTCATCGGGTATTTTTGTTACCTTACCCAATCCACATACCCGTTTAAAGCCGGATGGCGGGGCTGCCCCATTTATTTTTTCTTTTTATTTATTTATTTATTTTTTTATGTCTTTACTTAATAAATAGTATTACTTTTTTACCAATTTATTATAAACAACTTATGTTCACTTTTAAAATATAATAAATCTATTAGTTTTGTTTGATAAAAAACTTAAATTTAAAAGGGGCGGGTGGCGATTACAATTCCCGTACCCGTTTCTGGGCAATGACCCTCGCATTGTCCTCGCCCCATTTACCCGATTAGGCGGGATAATTCCTACCCCGTTTGGGGCGGGGCCAACAGGTTTCGGGTTAAACGAGTTTTTTTGTCATCCCTAGACTTTAGGATAAATAATCGAACTCTTATCTCAGCCAATTTCGATTTATCTGCATTTCATTATTTTAGTTGCAGTTTTGTTACTTATTTTGATTACCAATGAATATTTTTATAATGTTTATTAGACATTTAACAATTGACCATGAACATTGTTTGCTTCTTCTCTTTTAATCATAGATTAGATAGAAAAGTGCCCTCGTCAAATATGAGGATAAGCCAAATGCAAAAGGCCTTCTCTTGAGTTTTCAGGGAAGGGGGGCAAAAAACCTTGTATTAAGTATCAATGTTATACCTAATAATTCAACTTTGTTTAGAAAATGTTATACCTAATAATTCAACTTTGTTTTTAGGTTTTACTTTGAGACTAATATTTTTATTAAAATGTCAACTTTGTTTAGAAAATGTTAATTAAAATTTTCATAATTAAGTAGGTTTACCTTAATATGCATTGCAAGATCATGGTTTGTTTCAAGATGTTGTTCTTAAGTTTTGACTGCTTATTAAAATTTTAGACAGATCAAAGGCTCTTATATAATATAGAATTCTTGAGTTTCGGTGTAAAAAGTCAATTTTATTGAAAGGGGTTATCAGAAAAATGAAGCATTGCAAACTTCGATAGTACGTTCGGCTCTCTAACCAGTACGAGCTATTTGTCAATGTGTGGTGGTTAGATAAATGTTCATAAATTTTGTCAAACCACATTGCTTATAGCCGTATTGGTTATTGTTCATAATTTTTTATACGGCATGATTCTTTTCTTCTATTTCTAAAATGATCTTAGTTGTAACTCTTAAAAGAAAGAAAGTCCCCTTTGTACAATAAGTGAAATGACGAATTAAAATTGCTTACAATCATTATTTTTGTGACAAAAAATAAATAAATAAAGAGTAATATTATTCGTCATCATTGATTATCACCATCATATTTAGATGATATTGAATAACTGGTACAATAATATGGATTGTACATCCATGCGTTTTCTTGAACATATCATTAATAATACTATGTTACCATATAGATAATGATGATCATTAGTGACAAATAGCATTATCTAATACAGGAATGGCCACTTACTTTGATTGCGTGAAATTGTATAAACATGGAAGTTTAAATCTTATTTTAAAAAATAATTATTCTCACAAAACGTTTTTCATGAATGTATTAATTTTAATTGCATTAAGATTTTACTCTTTACATATTACCTTAATATGCATTGCAAGATCATGGTTTGGTTCACTATTTTCAGCATCCTAGTGACAATCCAGGTGTTGTGATATTCTCTGAAATCTTCAATAGTGATAATTACACTTCTTGAGGGAGGGGGGAGGTCTTATGACACAGAATCAGTTGCAGCTGCTTAAAGATAGTTAATACAGTTATGCTGTCATGGAAGATTAGTTAAATACAGCTAGGACCGGCTAAGATACAATTAGGTGTAGTTAGATACTGTTAGGTANGCTGACATGGAAGATTAGTTAAAAGGTATGGACGTTTTGCACAGTAACGATTAAAGATATGGACGTTTTGTGCTAATTACCCCAATGGAGAATACTAGGATTTAGAAATTTTAAAAAAATCTATGCATCGATGACACCTCTTAAAAGATTAAGGACATGAGTATAGTGCTATCAATGGATTGGATTTTGATCCAAATCCGACGAAATTAATGGGAGATGGATTTAGAGTTTCAGTCTGATAACTCAATCAAGATCCGAATCCGATAATCCGTTAACTAAATGGATCAACTATGGATATAGGTCAATCCGATCCGATAACAATCCAATTCGATTTGTTATAAATAATTGAGTCTGTAAAATATTTTTATAGCA